AGAAATGGTGCTGGGTCCACACCATTTCGCGGGGAATCAAAGCCAAGAAAAAACCAAAAATTAAAATTAGAGTAAAAAATAAATTTTTAGAACTCTAATGCGCACCAGTACAAAACTGAGGGGGGAGAGTGTTCAGCTCAACAACAAACAAGATACAAAATTTAGTACCACAACTCGCGTTTTGTCTGGTTGTCAAAAAATCGAATTCAACTTGGATTCAGTGGCCATGCCTTAATGCCAGTTTTCTTTAAGATTTCTTAAGAAATTCCTCAGTGTGCTGGATATTTCTTTTTCCTCAGAATCTACATACATAGTGCATGGGATTTGGAAAGATTTTCGTAGAATCCAACACTTGAATAGTGACGTTATACGGCAAATAATCTACATTTGTACTCATTTTATTTGTAAGTAGTTTTGATCTACCTAAATATACATATAGGTTTTCATTGAGAGAGTAGTTCGGATTTTCTAATCCTGATGAGATCAAAACATCAATGTCTGATTTTTTAAAATTTTAACGAGGTTGTATATCTTATGTTCATTTTATTCTTACCCTGTCCCGTGATTCATTTCTTCAAAAAAAGGCCATTCAAACATTCCTCAGAAAAGAACGATTTTGCTCGGAAACTCGACAGCACAGTTTTCAGCTTACCCACTAGCGTCATAAATCGTGGGTGAATTTTTTTTTTGCTCAGGCGAAACTGCTGAAATTATTTACGATGTTTTTGACTGATAAACTTTTCTTAAACGGGCGCTGTACTCCCGTCCCGTAAACAGCACCGCGTCCGGTGTTGCCAAGTCGAGTGAGCTAAGCCACTAGGGAGACTCAGCTGCCTTGTTCAAAGCCGTCACGAAGATATTTCAGTCGTCTGTTTCATGTATTTATTTTATTTTTTATAATTTTATTTATTTAATTTTTTACTGTATGAGCTCTATATTTTAACGCCTAAAATTTTACTTTTTGGTATTAAATATATACAGACTTCCCTTTTATCGTTTCCCAAGAAGCACTAAAATGAAAAATTTGTCTCATTACGACGAAGAAAACCGTCTATTTGCCACTTCCCCACTAAGTTAAGGTAAATACTCTTTGCGCCAAGGAAGTAACTGGTTGCGCAACGGTAGATTCTAGTCGCGGGAAGAAAAGTTCTGTTATCGTAGAACAAATTTTCTGATTATCCCAACTGAAACAAATCAGCGCGAGGAGGAAACTTTCGTTTTCATATAATTGAAACTTTACTTAGCGCAGAGTTGCTCTTTGGATTAACGGAAATACTCCTCAATGGCAGGTGAATATTGGGACTCTCTTGCAGTTCCGGCAGTTGTTCTTACTTTAAACGATTTCCACCTCATTATTTTACACAAGGTGATCCATTTTTACACGATTTTAAGGTCTTTAAACTACCGATAGTTTCCCAATTAAAAAATAAAGTATAACAGGACGTCTGCAACGTCGCAAACCAAGATACATGGTGTGATTGTTGCACCGTTAGGTTGAAGGACATTTCGACAACGATTTTTTGTCCGCACACCGCACGCTTCTAGTCGTTTATGTCCACACGTTTTTTCGGCAGGAGAGCTCGTGCCGTAGTACCTTGATTTATTGCGAGGAAAGCTCCGTACTCTCAAAGGACGCCTATCATTCTTAAAATTTTGGAGCGCCTTCAATTTCGTTTGATACTGAGCAACACCTTTGTTGTGGAATAGTTGCTTGAGGCGCCGTGGCACGCTGCGGTGCGGCGGGCGGCTGGCCAACTTCCAACGCGCATTGGCGCCTACAAACCTAAGGGGATACTCCAAGCGTTGCACAATGCGTGAAGTATCCCCTTAGGTTTGCAGGCGTTAGTGCGCGTTTTGCATTTTGAGGTAGCACTAGCACACCGCTCCGCTCAAAGTAGGCTCTAATATTTAAAATCGCGGAGTCGGCGTTTTTCAGCTCTTGATTTTGAAATTTTTGCACAGTCTGTATGGATTTTCCTCATTTAAATTGATGAAAAAAATATGTATTTAAGGAAAATATAAAATGTGTTTTGTAAATATTAAGGTGGTTCCGTGTCAAATTTAATGATCCCTAAAGCTTTTTTAATTTTTTCTTTTATATTTTGTGCTTTTACTGTGCTGCAGCGTGTGTACGCGCAACCAAACGCTTAAAATTGGACGTATTTAACTCTAAAAGATCGATGTACTTTCGGGTTAAAACTAATGATTGCAAGCTTCTTGGTTTCTTCCCCATTTTTATTCATTTTTGAATAGTTTCTTTCAACACAAATCTTATTTTCCGCGTGGACGTAAACTACTGGACAAAACAGGTGCGCGGACAAAAAATCGTTGACGGAATGTCCTGAAACCCACCGTTAATATGTACTACTTAAAATGAGCCTCAGGGTCCATAATATTCCGAGCGTTCCAAAGCCTACGTGAAAATTGACCTTTACGTCAAGGAGCGATAATTCGTGCATGACACTTTTATTCAGTCGGACTTGGTGCCTTTCAATACGTCCCTCGGGAGATCCCATTTTTTCCCTCGGGAACTCTAAAAGACGCCACGATACAACGCCACTTCGCAAAAAACAGCAAACCTGTTTTTATCTCGAGCCGCCATCAAAAGAACAATCCGTGGATCCAAAATCGTTGCTTTTGTTGGCACCAACGCGGAGCTATCTCTTCCACTAAAAAGCTAAACAAGACCGAGTCCACGCCAGCGGGCACCGAGGTATCAGACACGGCTGCCAAGCTACGGAAAAGAGCAGTAACTCCACTCCGAGATGAGCCCCAAAGTGCATTACAGCACGTGCAAACCGCGTTCCTTGTCCAGGTGAATTATTCGCTCTTTTTCATGACAAACGCGGAGGGATTCGAGAAAAGCGTAACTCAACCGGGAGTCCCGCGTGCGGAACTCTCGAAGACGTGTCGGTGCCACTTCTGAATGCGGGGATCACACGCGGAAATAAAAGGAAGACGCGACATTCTGCGTTTTTCCCAAGCATATTTATCACCGACACTCAATACGTGACTTAGAGGCGTCTTTTGTCGCGGAGTTAAGTTCCCAATTTGACATGATAATGTTTTCAGCGCGTGGCGCGGTCGTAAAACCGCCGAGATCTGGGTCAGAGGCGTGGCGTGCATTGCGATACATCGATTGTTATGCCATTTTAACCTATGGAAAAGGATCGATTAACAGGGTGTCCGCAGCGAACACCTTAATAATCGATTCTATACCATAGGTTTAAATGGCATAACACTCGATACATCGCAATTCGCGCCACGCCACTGATCTGGGTTGCACGCCCGGGCCCGACAAAAGCGCAAATAAAGACACCGGGGATCGATGGAGCGGCGGGAAGAGTGATGGAACCGACTCGGGAGAAGAGTGTTTGCGCGGGCAGGCCCGTGCGAGTGTTTTGTTTACACGTTTGGGACGACAGAGCATAAGCGGGCGCCGAAAGGGATACCAGCCGGAGTCAATAAGGTCCCCACCGATTCCTCCGAAGGGACATTATACCCATATATCCTGTGAAATTGATTTCCTTTTGGTTTGACGTCATGGGATCAGACTTAGATGAAGGCGGATTTACATGGAGAGTTATTAGAAAAAAGATACGGGTGCAATACTGCCTGCCAAGGAGGAACGCCGCATGAGCCTTCAGACGTTGCCAAGTTTCTTCCGATAAAAACTGAATTTACTGGGAAAATTGCGAATATTATTTTCCAAAATGTTCAGACAATTTTGTACACAATTTAATCTAAAATATTTGAAAATTTCAAGGAAAAATATGTACGAATGCAGTAAAAAAAAGTGTTTTATCGAGGGAAATTTGGCAACTCTCGGATGTTCATACGGCGTTCTTTCTTAGCACGGCAGAATACTGCCGTGCCAAGGAGGAACACCGTATGCACATTCAGGTTTTGCCACGTTTCCTTTGGTAAATCACGAATTTTCGGGAAAATTTGTCGAAAATTTCCCTTCAATTTTTCAGACGATTTCGTTCGCAATTTCACCTCAAGTCCCTGAAAAATTCAAAGAAAAATATTCATAATTTTCTTCAAAAATAAACATTTTATCGAGAGAAATTTGGCATCTCTCGGATGCTCATACGGCGTTCTTCCTCGGCACGGCAGAATAGCTCAAGATTGTCAGCGCATAGTCGATGGCAGAGCGAAAGCTGGCGGGCATCAAGAGGGATGGTTTGACGTTATTACGAATCAGATTCGGATGGAAGTAAGCAAACAGGAAAAAAGACTTGCCGCTGATTTTTTTCTGAGAGGACGCAGGAGAAAAAGGGATAATCGGGAGTAAACCAAATTGGAGAGTTCCACGGCAAGTCGCGCCGATTAAGGCGGACACAGAGAGCACGAGGCAAAAACTACTTAAGACTCCATTGAATCCTCCTGTAGAGAGGTCTGTTTGGCTAGATGAATTTTTCCGCTTGTGTATCGTTAACCCAAACCTACACTGGAAAAAAAAAACACATTGGATCTAGAGTCCAGACTCTTGAAAACATTGACAAGAAAAAATACTCTTGATTCAATCGGATTTTTGCTTGATTCAAGACGAAACCCGCTTAAATTAAGAGGCTTGATTCTTGATATAAGCAAAAATCCGATTGAACCAAGAGTACTTTTTCTTGTCGATGTTTTTAAGAGTCTGGACTCTAGATCCAATAAGTTTTTTTTCCCCGGTGTATCTACCTAAAAGAACTTAGAGGAATGAAATTAAATCTTCTAACTTCTGAAATCTACCGTCTGAGGTCTGTCCATGGACTCAGTAACTAGTTCATCAGTTACTTTTAGTGTATTTAAGAAAACGCTCGTATGTATACCCGGAAGATGAAAAGTTAAGTTCTCTTATAACTGCTGTTACAATGCAAGTGACTTGGCTCTTTTCTGCAATACTCAGTCCAAACTACTCCTTCCTGTGAAGTAATACAGACCTCTCCTTTCATACAATACTTTCTCCATAACAAATCAGTAAATTTTACACAAGTGTGGTTCATACTCACTGATATGTTTGCAGGCGGTCTAGACTTCATTTTCCTCCATGGGAACCATTTTCTAGACGTTATCTCTTAAATCAGGCTCATCATAAAGGCATCTGCAACAAATGTAAACACGTATTCACAATAAACAAGGAAGTCTCCACCTTTGAAATTTTCAGAATCATGCGCAGAAAAAATATACCTTCTATACATATTCTATTACGCGGGATATAAAGAAAAATATACAGTAAGTTGGAATTTTTTTAGGCAACGTGCGTTCAAAATCAGCATGAAGTTGAAGATTTCAGTACAATCTAACCTAACCTAACTTAACCTAACCTAACTCAACCTAACCTAACCCAACCTGACCTAACACAACCTAACCTAACCCAACCTAACCTAACCCAACCTAACCTAACCTGAACAAACCTAACCTAACCCAACCTAACCTAACCCAACCTAACCTAACCTGAACAAACCTAACCTAACCTAAACCAACCTAAAACTAACCTAACTTTACGACCCGTGCGTCTACCGCAATCGGTTTGTGCAATAAAAAAAAAAAAAAAAAAAAANAAAAAAAAAAAAAAAAAAAAAAAAAAAAAAAAAAAAAAAAAAAAAATCATAGAGACTCCTCATTTTAGCTGTAATTTTCTTGTAAGGTTCAAAGACTGGAGCTATCGAAGAGAGAGAGAGGGAAAAATAAAAAGCGTTGATTAGGAATGATGCTCAAAGCCGTGACGTCACGGCTGCGCTCGCCGTCGCGCGTCATCGGTAGTCCTCCAGCGCTGGTTATTAAGGATTGTTTGCTGTCCCTCGGCTTGTTTGTCAACTTGTTTTTCCCGACGTCCCACTTCCGAAGCCGTTTATTTTTTCCCCGACATCAAATCACCGCTTTCGAGAGCGGTAACGAGCGGGGAAGCTCTGTTTATGACGCTTACGTCACATTCGCACGCCCGACGGAGCCATAAAAGCTCATTAGTTTGAGCCCTGATTGAGCCGGCCCGAGACGGAAGAGGATTGAAAGTTGTCAAAACTGGGGAATCCTCGACCGCCCTGGCGGGAACTTGCAAGGTCGAGATAGTCCTTACGATATTGCCGTGCTAAGGAAAAACGACGTATGAGCCTTCAGACGTTGCCATATCTCCTTCAATGAAAAATAAATCTACTCTGAAAATGGTGAATATTTTTCCTCAAAATTTTCATAAGATTTTGTTCGCAATTTAATCTAAAAGATCTGAAAATTTCAAGGAAAATTATGCATAACTTTCGCCAAAAATGATCAATTTATTCGTGGAAATTTGGCAACTTTTGAATGTTCATACGGCGTTCTTTTTTAGGACGGCAGGATAGCTTAGGCTTAGGGATCGTCCATAAATTACGTTACGCTCTGAGAGTGGGGGAAGTCGGCTCAAAAATTATAATTTAAAGGCTGAGATGGAAAATGGTTTCTCATATTCTGGAGTATAAACGAGCCAATTTGGTCCTGAAGAGGGCTAGTGAGAGTTTCGGATCCATAGGAAAGCAAAATGTGTTAAAATTAAAATAATTTATCGTATTCCGAAGAGTATGTAAACGGTGAAACTCCCAAGCCACGCATCTCAATTTGCGACGTTGCAAACTTCCTGTAATACTTTAGTTTTTAAATGGGGAACTACTCAACGTCAAATCCTAAGAACTTAACCTTTGTTTTTTCCTTTGGTGCGAGGTAACTTTTGGAAAAAGTTCAAGAAATGATGTCCATTTGTTCTTCTCTCAAAAAATAAGACAGGGTCGGAGATTTTTAGACGTCGTCGCAAGTGAGATAAATTTGGAAGTTTCTTGTCGATATGTTTCAAGCTTATGTTTTTCAAAATATTAGGATGATAGTCAATATACGGAGATAATACATAATTTAAATTTAATACTCCCATTGGGTTATAACAAATGCAAAGGCCTTTCGTTACAACCCAATGTGAGTAATAAATTCAAATTTTGTAGTACCACAGTGTATTGGCTCTCATCTTGATATTTTCAATATGTATCGCTACCGTCCAACATGTTTCAATATGTTTTCAGATTTGGCGGAAGGAAAGAAGTTGGGCTGAAAACTCAAAACTTAAAGCTTCCGAAAATATAAAGCTCTCATCTGTTAGGAGGTATGAGCAAGCCAATTCGGTCATGATGAGGCCAGGAGAGCGTTGGGTTGAATAATTAAAATGCATTTGGATTAAAAAAAAATTCTTGTATTAGAGATAATACGTTTTCGGTCGATTTGTTTATGTATGGGGAGTAGGGGGAAAGTTTGGTCAAAAAATTGAAAGTAGTGTTTTTGAGAGAAATTGCGCACTTTTTTTATTTTGAAATAAAATATACAAGCCGATGAAAAAAATATGCAAGCCGTTTGCTCTCATAGAGAGTCAAGAGGAGGGGAGGAAAGAGTTTTCGACATCAACTTTTTGTTTAAAAAAATAAGTTGTAAGCCAACTTGTTCATTTTGTTGCGGGCGATCATTTGCGATATAAAATATTCTCATCCTAATATCGACTTATCTCTCCGCGGAGTTGGAAACAGTAATAGCCGCAACGTACACGTTTAAAGGGGAAAACCACCGGATATGATTGGATTACAAACTTCCGGAGTTCAGAGAACTTCGGATCCATCGTTGAGATAACTACCGGAAATTGATTAGATTGAAAACCTCCGGAACTGGATGACTTTTGAGTTACGATAAAAGGGGTACGGAACCTTGTTGGAGAAAGGAGTCTTCGCTCCTTCGCAAATTAACATCGAGAGTAGGCAGCGCTCCACGGAAAATAAGAACAATCGAGTTCAGTCTTATAATCTGCTTTTTTAATAATATCTTGCACAAAAGGATTATATTTTTATCCTTTTTTAACACCGAAGTCAAATTTCCTTAAACCCGATTATTGTCAGTTACCTTTTTTAAGCGCTAGCTCAGCCGATAGGCATGCGCTTCTTGTTTTCGTTTTGCCATTATAGTTCTTCTTTTGTAGAGCACTCAAACGATTGAATAGCTCACCAACTCAACAAAACATGGCCGATGACACCTAACCGGAATAGAAGACCTAATTCGGACGCATTGTTAGCTAGTTATCACCAAAATCCGGTTTCTAATCTAACAGACTTCGTAAGTTATTTCTCAGCTGCAACTTATTCTGCCGTCCTCAGTGAAAACGCCATAACTCCATTCCAGATGTTTTCAGCTCTTCACCAAAAAAATGTATCATTACCGAAAAACTAACGACCATTTTGCAATTTGGAACTATAAAATCTGGCTCTTCTGGAAAAACAATCATGTGCATAGGGAAACTAATGGCACATACGTTGTTTTTAAACCGGGCTGGAATTTATAGTTCCAAATTGCAAAATGCAGTCCATTTATCCTTCTTAGTTCTAAAATAACTGTGGCATACCACTGAGAATTCAAATTCACGAAATGAAGCATCTCAATGATCAGGTTCTCTTGTAATAGTACAGTATGTGCGGAAGAAAAATGCAAAGTGTTGATTGGAGTTTCTACGATTTTGTTGTGGACGGCAATACTGGTATGTAACGTTTCGTGAAAGAAATGTACAGTTGGAAATTTCTAGTCTTATCCAGAAAGACTCAACCGACTCAACGTAATCGTTGTACACGATTTTCCTCTGGATTCGGACATGAGTTGTGGGAGTAAAGAGAGCATCATGCAACACCTGCGATGAAAGCAGATTGGACTCCGTAGGGTGAGAGGTGACTTCACGTGGAAAGTTATGGATGGCACGGAATTTTCCGCAGGAGAGAAATGGCGGTTGGAAAATTAACACTTAATTTTTTTTTTCGCTGGGCTCTACGCGAGGTGACAGCTACATGTGGTCGTGGGTCGTGGTCAACCACTGCAGTCTATCTACTGCAATTCATTTGTCGCCACTCAACGCTACGTGCACCAACCTCTTTCCACCACTCTCTTCTCGAGAAATCGCAACCAAAATAAATATACGTCTTAAACTATTGGTTGAGTCGGGTATATTTTCAAATTTTTAATGGTACTCAAATTCAGAGGACCAACTTTAACCGTGCTGAGGATGACCGCCGTGAGAGCCATCAGAGGTTGCCATGTCTCCTTCGATAAAACACAAATTTTTCGTATAATCTGTGAATATTCTTCTTCCAAATGTTCACAGAATTTCATTTGCGATTTGATCTAAATTATTTAAAAATGTCAAGGAAAAACACTCATATCAGCCCTCAAAAGTTCATATTTTATCGCTGGAAATTTGATTTTGAATGCTCATACGGCGTTGTTTCTCAGCATGGCAAAACTGAGTTTTGATTATTTTTTTCACGTTGCTGCAATATCCCACTCCTTTTTATTGTTTTTATGAAGAATTGAACAACATAATACCTTGGCACATCCTACAAATTTCTCGTTGACTATGCAAAATAAACCCTGGTAAACATTGGCAATAAGAGCTGCGTTTCCAAATACAATAGGAATTCTAATAGCCGGCTATAGAAGGCTACAGAAAATCATATAGCTGGTTGTAGAATGCGGAGAAAATCATACGGTCGGGCTATACGAAGCGATAAAAAATTATTCAGCCGGGCTATAGTTCCTATCGCCGGGCTTTACACTTCATCGCCTGGCTGTTGCTTTTTCGCCATCGATTATAAAAGGCTAAAAGAAATTGTGAAGAAATTCGTGTGCTTTGGAAATCATTTAGTTTGATACGGAACCACCTTAATATTGACAAAACGCACATTATATTTTCCTTTAATACATATTTTTTTTTTCATCAATTAAAATGAGAATAATCCATACAGGATGTGCAAACATTTCAAAATCATGAGTTGAATAACGCTGACTCCACCAGATAAAATATTAGAGCCTAACACAAAGCGGCGCGCAACGCACTGGCGCCTACAAACCTAACAGGGATACTTCACGCATTGCGCAACGCGTGAAGTATCCCTGTTAGGCTTGTAGGCGCCAATGCGTGTTTCGCGCTGGCTGCCCGCCTGCCACGGCGCTTGAAGCAACTATTTCACATCAGAGTTATTGCACAGTATCATACGAAATTGAAGGCGCTCCAACATATTAAGAATGACAGGCATCCTTCAAAAGTTTGGAGCTTTC